GGATGAATAAATGGGTGGATGGATGGGTGTATAGATGGATGGATGAGTGGATAGATGGGTGGGTGGGTGGGTGGATGGATGGATAGGTGGGTGGGTGGATACATGGATGGATGGATACATGGATGGATACATGGATGGATGGGTACATGGATGGATGGGTGGGTGGATGGAAGAAAGGAAGGAGGGAGGGAGTGATGGTAGTGTATAGATAGGCTAAATACATGGATGCATGGATGGGTAGATGCACTGATGCATGGGTTGGTGCGTGAATGGATGGTTGAGTGTGTAGGGTGTGTGTGGATGTATAAATAGACAAACTAATGTATAACTAGAACAAATAAAAGTGATTTAGTAAAGCTGGGCATGGTGTTACACACCTTTGCATCAGGGTCAGCCTGTTCTATAGAGTGAATTCCAGGTCAGCCGGGTTACATAGTGAGACCCTGTTTCAAAAAAATTTTTAGTGATTGGTGATTTTAATGTATAAGTACATACACAATATTTATAATTTCATTTATTTATTTTTATTTTATTTATTTTATTTGTGTGAGCATGCTTTGTATGCATATATGTAAGTGCACCTGTGTGTGCAATGCCTGCAGAGGTCAGAAGAAGGTGTCAGACTCCCTGGAACTGGAGGTCCAGATGGTTGTTAGCCACCATGTGGGTCCTCTGGAAGATCAGCTATTAACTGAGCCACCTCTCCAGTCCCTAAAATATTTATAATATTATAATAAATATAGCACAGATATTAATATATTGCAGGTGGTGGTTTTAATCAGTTAAATATATAATAATCGTATGTTAACTCTGTTATACTTGTTCACATAAGCTTATAAGCTCTGGATAGAGCAATGAGCAGGTGCACCAAAACGTGGGTCGATGGATGGGTGACAGATGAATGGATGGATGGATGATGTATGGTGGAATGAGTGGATGGACAGATGGATGGATGGATGCTGGTAAACAAATAATAGATAGTAGGGCTAATATTACTCTGTGAATGGA